CTGGAGACTTACTTAAAATGATAAAAGTACCTAAGCACAGTACCTAGCACAACCCAGGCTTGTCACTTACTACCTGTTGAGGATGTCCTCTCTCCCCTTGTCTACCCTGCTACTGTCTCCTCAGCCTGCCATTTCATCTACTTTCCCTCTTCTGCTTTGATTGGTAGATTAGACTGTTCTTTGCAGGCCAAGAACAGGGAAAACCAAACCCCAAAATCTTTACTCCTGGAAGTTAAGTGTCATGCTCTGGAACTTTAGCAAGATGCAGTTCTAGGCCAAACTAAGGCGTGGCTAAGGACATTCATTTTTTTCGTGAAGTTTTTTGACCAAATTTGTAATTCAGAGTGGTTGCTTTGCTCACATGTCAGCATTGCACCACCAGCTGATGTGTTACAAGATTATGGACCACACTTAATCCCTTTGCACTCAAGATGTATTTCTCCCCTACACTGGCCCTCCAGTTTCTCTCTCTTTTCTTCCCATGTCCATCTCAGAAGCAACTCTAGAGAAGGAAAAATTGCTCTATAATGTGGAAGAGTGTAGCCGATTCAATGCAACGGGTTAGCACTGCACTACTCTGCTCCCAGCCTCTGCTAGGGAGTCAGGCTCTGCTCCTGGTCAGGGGATGAGTGCCACATCACATGCTACAAGATGGTTTCCAGACCCCAAGTCTCTCCGGGTACTCAGCTGTTGGAGAAGCATCCTGCATACACATGGCTGTTGTTTTATCATCTTTAACTCATCACTATATTCAGGAAGATAGATAGATTTTTATTATGCAGCAAAACTGCTGCTCTAGGGTAAACTTTTACACAAAGCAATTGTGTTTTTAATGGAATCAGCTAAAACAAAAATAAAGGGGAAGAAAATAGACTTGGCTTAGGTTTCAGATCTTTCTTTTAAAAAACAGCTCATTTTTGAGAGAAGCACTAGGATATGCAATTTGAACAAAAGACCATCTCTGAAGAACAAACTTACCTTTCTAAGGAAAGGCAAATGATGAAAATCATAACACTCAAGTACAATGAAAGTCCCTAGCATTTCTTTTCTTGCTGACAAGATAAGAATACAGTAATTTGTCCTTATGTATTTTCATCACTTAGGAGTTTTCAAACATTTAACACAATACATGAGACATAGTTTTCAGTTATGCTTATACTCAACCTACCAGCTTTACATGCTGAAGTTGAATGTTGCTTTTTGATGTATCAGCACCAACAAACAGTACCAAAAATGTGCAAAACACAAGACTAGAATGTGAAAAAACCCAGTAAGACACCATGATAAGTGGATGAGACAGCCCAGAATTATGCCTGGGCTTAGTTCTCATCAACATCCTGTAGTTAAAGTGGTCTGAAATACTCATTTAGGTGCTCGAGCTCATTCTATGTGGTAGCTCTGCCTCTCATTCATTAATTTTCTACTGTCGTTTTGTTTCCTTGAGCTCATTGCTCTTTTGAAGGATAGTAGGCACAGAGGACTGGCCCCTACCCACAAGACAGTTTAGCTTGCAAGTAAAGTCAGTGTCTCCTTGCAGGATTGAGCTTTTAAGTATGTGCCAAAAATTATGTATGTGTGTGCCCCAAATACAGGGGTATCGATGGAAAAGAGATATGGAAAGATGGAGGAGGTTACTAGGAACTGAAGGTCTGAAAGACTTCACAGGTGAGAAGAGCCTTGAGATTGACCTTGAATGTAGCAGGATTTTGATAGGGGTTAAGGATGGGGGTCGGGTTGGGACAGAGGGAAAGAGGTATGTTTAACGAAGATGGAAACCATAATTTATGTTTGGGGGTGGTAAAGAAACTCTTTCTTTATGCTGGAGATGGGAGAAAAGAAGATTGGATAAGAGATTATAGAGTGTTTTAACAAAGTAGGCTAACCTGATAATAAAGAACTGATGCATCTGAATAATGCAACAAAATTTATTTCTTGCTTATTTCATAGTTCATTGCAGGGATCTGGCAGGTAGACTTCCATGTGGTAACCCAGGGAACCAGACTCTTTCAATTTTTTGTAAAGTTCATAGTGCCTGCTGCATTTAGCTGGCCATCCATCTAGTTGAGAGAAAGAGTGAGAGTGTGGAGGATTGATGTAGGCCTGTAAGTGTTTTATGTACTATTTCCATCTGCTTCCCATTGGCTAACATTCAGTCATATGGGCACACCTCACTGCAAGAGAGTCTGGGAAATGTAGTATAGAAGGCAACTGATTTTGGTGAACACGTGGTCTCTATTATATCAACTTTTAGCTTGAGTGGGTTGAACTTTATCCTGGATGCAGTGGTAGGTCATCCTCAACCTTAGCAGAGGTGGGGCATGCTCATATAAGGGTCATATAAACTCCTTACAGGGGGTGATTTTTGTTTTATCTTCACTGCTGTATCCCTAGGATATGATAGGCTTTAAACAAATGTTTGATAAAATGATGGAATGATGACTGGATGCTGAAAAGAAGGCCTGGTCACTTTGAACATTCCAGGATGGATCAGTGAAAGAGAGATGAGGCAGGGAATCCAATCAGAAAGCTATTTTGAGCATCTGATAGCACATCTACAGTAGGAATATGTTCAGTTTTAGAAAGAGAAATGTTAACTTATGCGATTTTACTCTCTTAGCCTACAGCATAGCCACAGATTATAATTTAACCAGCGTCCCAGCTGAGTTGAAATCTTAGAAGCAGGTTGTGAGCTGCAACTGTGTTCCTAAGAAGGGCCTGGACTTTCTTTGGAGGCATTAATTGGAATACAGCCTCTGGACTTGGGCTATGCCACAATACTGCAACCCAAACAAAATAAAACTTGACTAAACCAGCAAACCCAGCTTGGAGTTCAAGTTACTTTAACGGACTCTTGGGAAACACAAACTGCCGCTGTATTATGTACACAAAATTCACTCTTTGACCTTATTGTAAGGAAAATTACTGGAGCACACATACTCTTTTGCCAGCTTTCAAAAGCATTGGATGAGTTACTCTTTTGCAATTGTGCAATATTTTTTAAATTTCAATATTAAAATATGCTTGAAAAATAGATGCTGATCCAACAAGAACAGAAAATATGAATGAAAAGAATGTGTTCTCTGTGCACCTACAAGAAGTCAACACACAGGCAACCTTGTGTGGCCCGAGGCTTCAGGATTTTAGGAAGTTGCTCACAGATGAATTTCTTTGAAATTAAAAGCTAAAGGCAGCATCTTGGGTCCTCCCTCTAGATTCGACTTTTGTGCTTTATGTCTAAGCTGGGGCTGACCCCAGGGCCTGGCCATGACTCGGGTTACATGCCCCTGAAGCCTGATGAAAGGCCCCTAACTTTAAGATTATGCAGAGTTGAGTGAGGAATCTCAGAACAGCCTGGGATTCTCGGGAGAGTTTTAGCAATTCTTGTTGATCTGGAAATAATGTAAAAACAACAACAGAAGAGATTTTTGTGGTATTTTTGCATGTTCTCTATTGCTTTGGGGGAAGAATCCAACATTAAATAGGCATAAAAAATAACAGATATTTTAAAAGACGTGTAACATGCCCTCCCCTTTTCATCCCTCCCCACCGAAAAATAAACTGTCATAATAAAAATGGTGAGAACAGGAAGGGAAAACAGAAACAACAGGCGAATGCAGTGTGCTGGGATGGGGATGGACAGGTCCCTCATGGCTGAGGCTAACTCTGCTATGACCAGAAAAGAGTGGGGAAGGTGTGAGGAAATGCCTCAAATGAAATCTTTCCTTTGCTGGGCCCACAGCTCTTTGAGCTGTGAGTTTCTCATTTCCTGAGGCCTCTTGAGATATAAATTATGCATTCAAGACGAGGAGTACCTGCAGGTACTAGTTTGGTTTCTAGCTCAAATCCCAGAGAAGCCAATTCATTGAAATTCCACTTGCTGAGTGATCTATTTATCAAATTCACTGATTTTCTTAAAAGAAAAAGCTTAATTATTCATAAAGTTTCATAGCAATTTCTATTGCATAGGATAGTTTTCACTTCAGCTTTCCCAGTTCATTGGATGTAAATCAACTGGAAAAGCTTTTTATTTCTGCCCCAGCTTTCTGAACATGAAGTTACAACTTGCCAGGGCTGGGAAAGCAGGAGCCTCTGGTGAGGGATAGGAGGGGAAGTCAATAGACTGTATCCTTAGGCATGGAAGAGGGGATGCTGAGGTTAAACAAGGGAGACAGTGGATGTTGAAGGTATGGAGTGCTGGAGAACAGAAAAGGTCAAGAATGAGAATGAGGGAGCAGGGAAAATATTCAGAGGCTCCAAAACTTCTCCAAATAGGTTTCTGAGACTGTGCCAGTTCTTCTCATATCATACTTCATAACCTTACAATTAATTAGTGGAAACAGATTTGGATAGCTTGGTGAATTCAGTGAAATAGTTTCTTCTGAACATGGGCTTTCAGTGTATCCATTTTCAGCAGGTTGGGCACTTCCTCTACTTGGAACCTCCTTGAGCCATTTTAGCAGCACCTTCCAGCTTTGGCAGAAAGTGAAGCCTTCCTGGAGGAAGATGTCTGCAGAACCTGCAGAAAGATGGGTGTCTGGAAGATAGGAGGAAAAGTCTCAAAATGTTAAAGGGTTTCTTTGCTTGCTTGGCAGAGTGGAAAGGGAAGGCAGTGACCTATCAGGATGGTCCACTCACCCTAGTTCGCATGAAACCTTCCTGGTTTCAGTATTCAGTTTCCAAGCCCAAGCACACAGAGACAGTTGGTCATTCTACACCTACTCGAAAGCTGGTTTTGAGAAGGAGAAAGATAAAGAAAAGTGGTGGTGGGTGAAGGGAGATGATGCTGGAATCGCCTCCTTGAAGGCAGTCTTTTGGCAACTGCAATTTGTATGGCCTGCAGGGAAGATCAAAGGATGCTTGGGGAAATCACATAGGCCTGAGCAGTCGGCCTAGGGACCTCATACTAAGGAAGGGCCTTAGGTTTGTTCTAGATATCTTGGATGTACAATCTACGTGCACTTACTTTTCTAAATATGCTTTTTTTCTCTCTCTTTTCTTAGGGAGGCAGGACACAATGTGTGAGAGAAGTCTGTCCCATTCTCTCCTGTCCCCAGCACCTTAGTCACATACCCCCAGGACAGTGCTGCCCCAAATGTTTGGGTGAGTTACTATTTTCAGGTCGAAGAACAATGTGATTTCTTCTCAAAGTTTCTGCTGGGAATGTTTATCCACATTGTTATCTTGAGGTTCTCAAGTTGTCCTGTTTCATGGCTTGTTAGAGACAACTACCTCTTCTAATTACAGAAATGGAATGTGTGTATGGGGTTTGCTTCTTAACTGAGGCCTCTAGGGAGGCTTTTCTATGGTCTTCACTTGTATCTGTAATGAGGTACAACAGATAACCTCAGATAATTCTCCCTTGTGGTGAAAAATAATTGAAGAAACTATCTTTAGTAGGGCACATAACTATTAACTAGAAGATATTTTAAAGGCATTTGAAGTAAACCCATGGAGGAATATAGACTAGGGTTACTTTCAGAGTCAAAAACATGGAGGAAGAAACACATGCAAGAAAATGACAGTTTTGGAAGGAAATAGTAGGTAATAGCCAACAGAAAGAGAGTATGATCTCTTTCTTATTGAACATTTAATAGGCACTAGGCACCATGCTAGGCACTTTATGTATTTGTTTCTCATTTGATCTTCTCAAGAAACTGTGAAATGTAGGTACTGAATATATAATTCCTATGTGCAATGCAGGTGCTATTATTAGTTTTATTGTGCTGAGAAGAAAGTAGATTCCTAGATGTCAGTCCAATCAGTGCGTTGCGGATTTGATATCCTACCACAAATCTGTGTGATTCCTGAGCCCAGCTCTAACTTGCTGCAGCTCACCTTCCCTGGTGACACAAGAGGGCTGCATGCACGTTGCCAGCTGAAGGGGGACAATATATGATGGGTATTTTCTAGAGCATGAGGTTCGTTGGCTTTGCTTACATGCTACATATACGCTACTTTTTTTTTTTTTTTTTTTTTTTTTTTGAGACGGAGTCTCTCGCTGTCACCAGGCTGGAGTGCAGTGGCATGATCTCGACTCACTGAAACCCCTATGTCCTGGGTTCAAGCGATTCTCGTGCCTCAGCCTCCTGAGTAACTGGGATTACAGTCATGAGCCACCACATCCAGCTAATTTTTGTATTTTTATTAGAAATGGAGTTTCACCATGTTGGCCAGGATAGTCTCAATCTCCTGACCTGTTCTAACCACTTTGACCTCCCAAAGCGTTGGAATTACAGGCATAAGCCACCATGCCCAGCCTATGCTACCTTCTTAATGATTCCTGGGCGCTTGAGCTAGTTGAGGTCAGACTAAGATTCAAATAAATATGGTGGCTTGAGCCACCATGCAAATACAATAGAACCTCTGGCAACCTCCCTAGAATCACCAGGGATCCTTGAGGGCCTACTGCTTTTCCTAATCACCTCTGGCTTGGTGTTTCTGCTCCTGCTATTTCTCTTAATTTCTATTCTGTTCTGTTCTTTCTTTTCTTTTTTTTCAAACATGATTTGTCCCTGTAGAGGCGTCTCCCTTCAAGTTTGTTTACGTCCTGGGGGGCCATTGAGTCAAGGCTTCGACAGCAGATTTTGCTGAAGGTTTGCAGGCAGTAAGAGTGATTGTTTTACACAGAAACATAGTGAACAACATAAAATGGAATATTAAACTCTCTCGTTCTTAAAAGGTCTTAGTTGTTTTGCCTTTGGGAGAATTTCACTGATTGTCTCTATTTGAGCTCTAGTCTCCTGTCAATTAATGCCCATGCCTTTTCCTTGAGTCTTCTCTCCTTCCTTTCAGAGTTTACTGTCTTCAACTCCAGAGCTACCTGTCGATTTATTTTTCTCATTCCCAAGTTAGCACAGCCATACCATGAAGTCTATTTTTTTTTAACACCAAGTTGACAAATACAGGTATTTTGTTAAACTAAGAGCTTTCTCCTCCTTGATGTCTTCTCCTGCTAACTTCATCTAACAATGCTTGCCTTCCTGCTACACACACACACACACACACACACACACACACCTGCTACACACACATATACACATACATACACATGTTTTAAGTGAATGTGAAACAGAAGGACAAAGAATTGCTTAGCCACTCCTGATTAAAGACATTTCCTCTTCTATGTGTTCTGTTTGGGTTGCCAGTGTGTATTAGTGTTCCTGGAATAGGATTAGCAGTTCGGTGTGGCACAAATCATCATGCTGTGGGCCACAGTGGAAGCAGTGGCCATTTAAACAAGAAGTCATCACAAAGGAGGTGGCATTTGGTCTGGCCCAAAAGATAAGTAAACTTGATTAATGCTTTGAAGCTAGTACTGTGGTTATGCTGAATCAGCTCAGAAGTTTCCCACATGAACAACAGCTATTGTATTGAACACAGGTTTTTCTGTTCATTTGTGGTTATGAGGCATACTATAAAAGGAGCAGTAAGTTTTGAGAAACTTGAAAATCTTCCAAATGAGATCTTTTTTGGTTGGGCTAGACCCCAGCGGAATGATATAGAAATGTCTTAAGTCAGGCTGTGCACGAAGTCTCTGAACCACTCCATTGAATGTTTTATCTTATGTTGGACCATGATGACTTTGGGATTAAGGTAAGATTTTATGCTCTTTGAGGGTAAAAAACAACCCCACATAGCAAGAAACAAAGACAAAAAAGCAAACAAACACTAGGATGCTTTCTAGATGCTGAAATCTTAGTCTAATTTGACTTGAGATGATTAGGTGCTGTTTCGCTCTTAAATTTTCCCTTGGGCAGGGTTCATTGACATGATATACTCTGCCTTTCACATTACAACATTCCTTTCCTCGTTTTCCTCATTCTCAATGGAGAGTCTCAGCACAGGTCAGTGTACAGAAAGCAGCACCGAGAGCCCTCTCACTGACACAGCCCAGGATCATATTTGAATTATATCACCTCTAATAATCATAATAATCTAATAAGCATCTACCATTTATTGGGCATGTGTAATGAACATCAGGCACTGCTCCAAGAGCTTTATTTTTACAATTTTAGGTAAAATTTTAATTTTAGTGAGGAAGAATTTAAGGCATTGTCACATTTGTTCAGGGGGATAAGCACATTGAAGAGTCTGTCAATCAATCAGTAAATCAATTGATCAATAGACCCATCCGACCATCCCACCTGTGCAACAATATTGACTGCTATAATGGTAGTATAGGTAGCAGGTTATGGGAATGCAGGAAAAGGTCATTAGCTCCAAGAGGTGGAAGGGCCTCCGAAGAAATAATGTGAGCTCAGCCATGAAGAAGATGCATTTTGATTGGTGGAGGATGAAGCTTCTACAGAGAGCTCTGTAACTATCTATTTATTTATATTCTGCATTTTGCCAACGAGGATTTAAGGCCACTTACAAAATACATGAAGCACATGTAGATAAAGGATAGTAAAAAGGCAAACCAGATTATCACAATTAAAAAAAACTACTCAATTGAAGCAGAGATATTTTAAATTATTAAAGGACAGAAATACATCTGATGGATTGATTAAAAGGATGATAATGTTTAAAGTAGTAAAAAATGACTTCACCATCATTTTTATAGTAAATCCAAAAAAAAACTGCTCAGTCATTTTTTTTTATTATAATGTCCTAAAATTAAGGTATGATTAGACAGAAGTGATTATAATGGATAGGCAAAATCCATGTGATCCAGGATGTGTACAGCTTTCTGCTACTTCAGGGTAAACCTATTTGGGTTCCTTAGAGAAATATGCAGGGAAAGGATGAATTTTTTTATTTGGCAGATACTCATTTAATTTGGTATGTCAGTTCTTAGGAAGTTCCAGACACAAGACCTGGGTGTGCACATAATACCTGTGTTAGTTGGGGAATTAACAATCACCATGCTAAATCATGTCTAGCCGTGACAAAGTTTTTGGTTGTATGTTTTAATATTAACACTGTAGTAAGAGGTAATGACACGGCAATGTTGTATTGTTGATGCCATTTTATGAGTGAAGTCGGTGAGGCCTGGAGAAATAATACTCAGTGGTCATGAGGGAGTCCATACATAGGATCCAAATTATAACTCACTTCCATCTTTTGAGGGCCAACAAGTTTGCTCTTGGTAGTGAGAACCAAATTAATGATTTAGTTCTGCATCTGTATTGTTTCCTGGCCTTGAGGTTGGCTACAATAGGAAGCACGTTTTTATTGACTCCTACTGACAGTTATTCCAACAACTCTAATTCTCAGAACAGCATTCAGTATGTTTAGGTATTTTGATCATTCCATTGGGCCAACTGATAAACAGAAATTACTATTAACCTTTTTACAGGAAGAAAGAGTGGTATGAATAGAAATTTGATAAGCGAACATGAATTGACTTAGTCTTTAATTAAAGTAACATTACAGGGGTGTTTTGATGTGCTTCAAGGAGTAGCAACTCAAATGCTAAAAGAAAGGAAGAAATTCGATTGTACTCTTTATTTGGGATTGCTGTTTTGGTCCTTTTGTTCACCAATCCAGTCCTCACATCAGGGGAAACCAAGTATCTACAGAGATACTTACTGTGTCTATGAAAGGCTGGACACTTGACTTGTGCCTCTGTGTGCCCCTTGGGTTAGCTTCACCCTTTATTCTTTTATGTAACTTCATAACTGAGATGCTGTCTTTGTCTGTTTAGTCTACTCTGATAAAATACCATAAACTGTGTAGCCTTTAAACAACAGAAATTTATTTCTCTCAGTCTTGGAGTCTGGGAAGTCCAAGAACAAGGTGCTAGCAGATTTGCTGTTTGGCTCATAGATAGTATCTTCTTGCTTTGCTGTCACGTAGTGGAAGGGATGAGCCTCTTTTATAAAGGCACTAATTTAATTCATGACAGCTTTGCTCTCCTGACTTAATCACCTTTCAAAAGCCCCGCCTCCTAATACCATTACATTGGTGATTAGATTTTACCACATGAATTTTGTGGAGACACAAACTTTCAGACCATAGCAAACAATATTTCATTAGTTCTTTTTGCTCATTGGAGACCTTCTTGAGATACCTTGCCTCCTCCTACCTCCACCCACCCCTCCCCCCGACCCACACCCAACTTTTAGATAATTTTACTTGTTATTAAGAAGCTCCACAGTCATTGTCTTCTAAGAATTCTTCTCTAACTTCCCAGTTCCCACAGTTTCTAGATCGTCTTCTTTCTAGAACTTGCCTTACTGTTGTATTGAAACAATCTTTGATGAGCCTGCCTTTTCACTAAACTGTGAGCTTCATGAGGGGAGCTCATGTCTTAGTGATTTTGGTTTACTGTGATGAACACATTATAGATTTGTTGAACTTACAAGCTTCATTGTAGAATCAAACTCTTTTTTTAACAAGCTTTGTCCAAACTCATGACTCCTGGGGATTCTTCAGACTTGTCTGACCCTAAGCTCTATTTTTGTGCTCCAGACTTACCTTACCTGATCTTATGAGAATGTATAATGGTCCTATGATGGAATCACTGATGACAAAATGGGACATCCCTGATTCTGTCTACTTACACTGTACTTCTGTTTCTCTCTAGGTCAGAGAAAAGTGTTTGACCTTCCTTTTGGGAGCTGCCTCTTTCGAAGTGATGTTTATGACAATGGATCCTCGTTTCTCTATGATAACTGCACAGTTTGCACTTGCAGGGTAAGGCGGTTCTGAGAGGCTGTGGTCCAACAGTGATAGGGTTTGGGTTTCAGTATTAGCATCACAGCCATAGCCAAAGGCAACGGTGTGTTATTTATTGGGAGGAAGCATTAATGATCCCATGTTACAAGAAAAGCATACTCAAGGTCACCAAGAACTTTACACATAGGACCCACACTATAGCTCAGTCATCTGCTAAGGACCAAGAAGTTAGCTCCTTGTAATGAGAATCAGGCTCCGAGGGCCTATTGTGAGGATTTTCTGAAATCAGACAAATACATATGGCAGTGCCCTCTGGCTCTAATTATCCAAGATGAATTCTGTAACACACCTGGCAATAAAAATTGCTTTTAACCACATTTAAGAGAAGAGAAAGGCATGGATTTACAGTTCATCACAGGATAAACCTGGAAGTTTAGGAAGAGAGTATGTACATGTTGTTTATTGTATCATGTCTTTCTTGAAGCTTTGCTCATTTTTCTCAAGAGGCAACCAGAAGTCTAATTACTGCTAAAGAAAGAATTCCACAGCTTCAGAATTTTAAAGGGACACACATCACACATTCAATGACTGTACTTATGCAGTGATTTATTTTTGAAACCAAGAAGAAATACATTGATCAGGGAGGACTTTAAGATTATTCATTAGTGAGTTAATGAATCACATCTGTCTGACAAGTTTAGAATGCACTTTGGTGGTAATGGTTGTTGTTGTTTTGTTTTCAATAGTTAAAGGTCTGGAGAGAGAAAGAAGGGAGCTGTGCTCAATGTCAGCTATAAGTCAGTAGCTGTGATTAGAGCTCAGTAGTTCATGATTACTTAGGCATGCTTTGTTCAGTAGCATGCACCACTTCAGGGGGCGGCTTGGTATGGGCTGAACTGTCCGTTCCCCTGAACACCAAACATGGAGTAATTCCTAAGTTTGAGAATACCTTCCAGAAGCTTCTTCCTCCTCCCATGGTTTGTGTTATCTTTTGCTAAATGTGTGGCACCCCCTTTTCGCCTTGGCTGTTATCTTCAGAACTTCTCTCCACTAAAAATTTCACAGGTGATAGCTTTCTCTTGGGGATACCGAGCCTTTGATGAAACATATCACATTCCCAATTCTCTTGCTCACAGAAAAGCCAGTCATCCCGTGAATGGGAGTTAGTTATACTTGCCATGCTTTGGGTTCATGGATTCCTTGGGAGATGACTAGGTAATACATCCCAGTGCTTAGCAGGAAGTGTAATTAATACTCTTCCTCCAAGAGGCTGTTTTACTAGAGAATGAATTCACAGTCATCTTGGGGATATTAAATGTTTGAAAAATCAAGCTGCCATTATTTTGAGTAATCAGTATTATTTTCTCTTTGCTTTGAGCTTCCCTCTCTAGTATTCCCATCCAGTGTTTCTCATGATTTCCATGGCAGGTGCAGGAACCTATTGAATATGGTTTAATAGAGTTGGCTCTTCAACAATATGGGGGTCGGGGCATCGATTCCCTGCATAGTTGAAAATTCATATCTACTTTTTGACTCCTTAAAAACTTAACTCATAGCTTGCTGTTGACTGAAAGCCTTACCAATAATATAAACAGTCAATTAACACATATTTTTTATGTTCTATGTATTACATACTATATTCTTATAATGAAGTAAGCTAGAGAAAAGAAAATCTTATTTAGAAAATCATAAGGAAGAGAAAACATATTTACTGTTTAATAAGTGAAAGTTGATTGTCATAAAGGCCTTCATCTTCTTTACATTGAGTAGGCCGAAGAGGAGGAGGGGTCGGTCTTGTCTCAGGGGTAGAAGAGGCAGAGGAAGTGGAAGGGGAGGCAGGAAAGGCAGGCACACTTAATATAACTTCTACTGAAAAAAGTTCTGAGTGTAAGTGGACCCATGCAGGTCAAATCCATGTTGCTCAAGTGTCAATTGTAGTTTTCTCCACATGCAGAATGGTTTCAGATCTTTGATCTTTGTGCCTTCAAATTTGACAATTCCTCTATCAACAATGTTATTACTGTCTTTAACTTTGAATAGCAAATGCCTCTTCATCCACAATAGCCTATTTCGGGTGTCATACAACCTGAGAGGCTTTCCTGACTTACCTGCATAGGTAATTTTCCCCTGGTCTTTGCTATCTTTACACCTGTGCTAGTTTTGTTTACCATATTATAATTGCAGTTTGTTTGACTACATGGTTATCTCCCTTCTTACATTGTGAGGAACCCCTTGAGGACAGTACATTTATCCATCTCTGTATTCATATTATCATTGCTTAACACAGTGCTAGGTACCACATTGTAATGATATGTACATAAAGCTCTCTCTCTCTCTCTCTCTCTCTCCACACACACACACACACACACAATGAAAGCAGGGAGATCTATGATGAAGTATGCGTTGTTTGACAGGTAGTGAGTGCCCTTGTTTTTAAATAAGAAATCAGAATATGCAGTTTGACAAAGGATTTTTTTTCCAATTTAATTTGGCTTATAATATTTTCGATGTGCCAGGTATTTTACATTTAAGAGGCACAGTAAACCTGAGAAGCAATAGGCAGAAGAGCACTTTTTTTGGAAATCCAATCATACCTCTTTAACTTATAGATGATATAAACTCTTCATCTTCAGTGGATAAATGGCCTGGTCAAAGTAACTCCACTCCAATAGAGCTCTGGAACGCAGGTCCAGTTCTGAAACTGAACATTCAGTTCTTTTGTGAGCACAGAACACACTTGAGAAATCTTGTCCCGAGGTGGTGCATTCACACTTACTTTTTACTGTCTGACCAAAGATATTGTGCCTTTATGTTAAACTCCAAAAGGTGGCATAAAGCCATGGAGGAAACCCAAGAGAGCACTATTAGTGCAGGTTGCAAAGAAGCAGAGGGCAGGAAGAAGGAAACTGGTGGCTCGTGGTAAGCTGGGCGGTCTTGCCACATGCTGGTGGAGTGAGCTCCTCAGTCTCTAGAACGTGAAATCATAAACCTTTGGGAGGTAGGGGTTGCAGGCCATAGTTTCCCCAGTACCCTCATATTCTAGTCTAGATACTTAACAAATCACATTTTGAAGTGAATGAAAGATTTATTGCAATAAATTAAAATATGATACCTACACACTATGTTTTAATACAGATAGTTATGGGTTGTGAAAGGAAGGCCACGTGGGACGTTTGGTAGAGGTGAAAATCATTTTTAATTTCTAGTTTGCCTTTGGGCCCCTAGGACTCTACTGTGGTTTGCAAGAAGAAGTGCTCCCACCCTGGTGGCTGTGACCAAGGCAAGGAGGGCTGTTGTGAAGAGTGCCTCCTACGAGTGCCGCCAGAAGACATCAAAGTGTGCAAATTTGGCAACAAGATTTTCCGGGTATGTCACGAGACAAGCACATGGGAACTCCTGCATTACTACGCTAACAGTTAAAGAGCTCCAGACAAGATGCAGATTGGGTTATCTCATAATTTCTATATACATATGCAAATGTATATGTGTGCATATATTAATAGAAGGTATCTGTTTATATTACAGTATTATATGTACATATATATTTAGAATCAAGTGCAGATAGGGGCACAGAATCAACCGTTTAAAAGATGTTTTTCTTGGCTATATTTTTGCTGAAATATGTTAAGCCTGTAAAACCTGCCTGAATGCCTGGGAGTACCTTGTCTCATTGGAGACGCTCAATGACACTTGTCAAGGTGACGATCCTTGTCAAGGTCCTGATGGATCTATACAGCTTGATGCTTTCAAAAGATTTTCACAAAGCCATGTTTTCAAAGAGAGATTGTCTCATTTGGAAGATATTCAGATAAGGATGTTCATAGTATACGTGGCCGGCACAGTAGTTGAGCCAGGTGAGAGAGCTCTGCCCAGCTGAACTGAAGAGGTTGTTTTTTGGCCATCTAATATCAATCTCAGGTGTATTTTACAATGTTTTATGAGGACCCCAAGTGGGAAACAGTGCATTGGCCATTTAAACTTCAAAATGCAAGATGGTTGGCTTTGTCCAAAGTACCTCCCATCTAGCCTATTTTCTCTAGGGGTGGAAGGAGTCAGATCACTCTGTACCTAAGGTGTCAAGTCATGATGCCCATGAGAATCAAGACTTTTAGAATCAAGCTGGTTGTGGCAGCTCTGCAATGAGCCAGACTTCCTATCACACTGAAGTAGTTGGAGGGAGAGATCTTGGTTCTGATGGGATCAGTAAGAAGACATGAGGTGTTGCATGGTCTCTCTTATAAGTGGGATCGCATGGACATGGGAGGGGAATGACACACACTAGGTCCTATTGGGGAGTAGGATGGAGGAGGGAGAGTGTTAGAAAGAATGGCTAATGCATGCTGAGCTTTATATCTAGGTGATGGGTTGATAGGTGCAGTAAACCGCTGTGGTACATATTTATCAATGGAACAAACCTGCACATCCTGCAGATGTACCCTGGAACTAAAAATAAAACAAAATAAATAAATTAGAAAAGATAAAACAATTGAGGACACACACACAAAAAAGACATAAGGTGTCATGCCCAGTAAAGAGGAAGACACGTGTGTTATATCTACACCAGGCTTTCAGAGATGCTCGTATGTCCTCTTGATATAAAGTCCCCTCCTCTGTCTCCAGAATACCCAGATGAAATAGCTTCACCCTCACTATGGTGCTGTGTGCAACATACTTTTAAGTCACCTTGTAAAACAGTTCCTTTAAATGAATGAGGCTTAAAATAATTCACAGAAACGTGGATTCCTAGAAATGTGTACTCACAGCACTTGGAACAGTCAGGTGTTTTTAAAGGCAGATCCAGTTAGGTCTTTCTCTCTTGAAAGGCACTAGAGGGTAGACGGTCCTTAAAATAGCTTCAAAAAGTCAGGAAGGGAACGAGGAGGGGGAGTCATCAAAGATCTGAACTATTTTTCTGTTTTTAACAAAAATCTGTTGCTTGAATCTACAAGCCCAGGAAGGAACCCTTATTTTGTTTTCAGGCCCAACTCTGTTGTCTGTGATCTTTTTTACCCACAAGCAAGGATGCACATCCCTGCCTGTCCTCCAGAGGTAACAAGGGCTTCTTGTGGCATTTGGCATTCACAGATTACACATTTCATGAGTGAAAGAAATCCCTCAAATAACTCCTTCTGTCTGAGCAAGGATCTAGTCTAGGAAATGTGTCCCAAAGTGCTGCCCTGCTTTTTGAGAGGAGAGGACTAGGTAGGCAGGGACAGGATGTGCATGGCACTTAGAGGCTTCTCTCTAAGCTCTGCATTTTCAGTGACTTGCCCATCAAGTATCTGTCTGAGCTCTGGGAGTCATTTGAATTAGCCTGTGTTTTAGGCATGTCCTGTATGGGCTGGAACCATGGCACATCTAGTGATTAACCACCTCTGGACATCTCAATTAACTATTGGTGCCTGGGTTGACTTAAATATTTCAGTCTTATCAAACCAGGGAAAATTAGATTCCTGTCACTTTTTCATGTATGAAAATTCATGCTTGGTTTTCCCCCAGGGTGGAACTAAATAAACAATGCATGACAATAAGACATAAATATGATTTTGTTAAACACACAAAAATTCTTTTTTTTTTTTTTTTTT